TGGTTTGAGGAAACATGGGTTTTGATAAGATTCGCCAACTCGCAAAGACTATTATCCTGTATGAGTTTTATCTTTCGTTAAAGAACACGAAATTTGGCAATTTCTTTACTCTTTTAAATGTGCCATTAAGGTTTTCATGTGTATATGTAGTGAATGGAAGGAGTTGGTAGCAGAAACTCAAAGCTTTTGATGCAGACGCAAGAAGTGAAAAGCTCCAGGACCTTAACAAGAAGTGAGTGTGGGAATCAAAGAGTTTTAGTCGTATTCTTGAGCAGGGAAGTAACGGTTTTAATCCTTCTTTGTTCATGGCAGAAACTCAAAGCTCTTGATGCAGACGCAAAGTTCCAGTTTGCTAAGAGGAAACTTCAAGCGAGCTACCAACAACATGAGAACGGTTTGTTCCTTTACCTCTTGTAATTTTTGACTGTGAACATTTGTGTTTGCAGGTAGATTCAGGCTGGGACATTGATGAATAACTATGCACATATATTTGATGCAAAACCTCTAATATAGGTTTGCCTCAGCAGGACCTCTAAAAGGAATTCTCAGGTATACAGATGAAGATGTTGTATCTCTTCTTTTTCTTCAAAGTGATATGAATATCCTGAGTTTTGGCTTTGTGGTTGATTTCGATTTTGTTGTAATAGGTCAAGTATGTTTGATGCCAATGATGGGATTCATTGAGCAAGTCCTTTGGCCAATATTTTGTTACTGTGATGAAATGACAAATCACGAGCTGATGATGGCGGGGAACCACGATATCTCGTTTAGGCAGGAGCAATATATGGAAGCTCGACAGAATTATGAGCATTTTAATTTTATTTCCATTTTTTTTGTAAAACTTTGATCTAACTCTTTTGTTGGTTTGTAATGTTAACAATTATATAAACATATTTTGTTTAAGTTTAATTGTCTTTTCATTTTAATATTTTCCGAAAAAATAGCGTAAAAAAAACAAAATTGACCAAAATATATAATATAAAAGGATTATTATATTTAATATATACCTAACTAATAACAACAAATAAATGCTATTAAAGGTAGTAATGGCATTCGATTATTGCTATGAAACAAGAAATAAAGACATTAAAAAAGTGCTATTGTAGATGAACATACTATAGCAGACAAAATTAATGCTATTGTAGGTGGGGTATCTACCATAGCTGCCGCAATCATAGCAGTTGTTATTTCGCTATGTATTACCTATAATAGCATTTTTTTCGCGCTAAGAATATAAGTTTTTCTTGTAGTGTAGTCATGTATAAATGATGGAAAGAGCTCTAAATATTGAGTTATGAGTTTGCAACTTTTGGCTTTACTGGTATTTGTGGACAACATTTACTTTCTCAAAGAACGAGGCAACAAATGCATGAAAATTGCTTATGAGGGAGACAAGAGGAGATGCATTGTTGTTTTAGCACTAGGCGCTAATCGGGCGGTGACCCAAGCGCCTAGCGCCTAGAACGCCTAATCGGGGTTTAAGCGATTTTAGGTGGTTTAGATGTTTACAACCTAACACTTTTAAAATATGATATTTAAGATAAAAATCATATAAAACTATGTATTAGAAGAATAAAAATATTAAACTGTAAACAAAAATTACACGAAAACATTTATTTAATTCATATCGTACAATATATATGAAACTAAAATTTATAATTTAAATTTATGCGGTTGAAAATTGGATAAATACATTGAAACAAAACTTAGGCGGTTGAAACGGTTGTTTAAACGTCACTTGAGCGTCTACCGACTCGGAGCCCTAGGCGACCGCCTAGACAACTTTTTAGAACAATGGTTTTACATCAGTTTGGGGTTTGATATAATATCTAACAGTGCTGAGTATTTTGTTCAAAGTGAATGATTTGTTTTTTCCAGAATCTTGTATTCTAGTGTAGTTGTTTAACATGATAAACCCATGCTGCGTCTTTGTATATTAGTTCCAATTATCATTATTTGTCATTAAATATGATGATGAGTGATGCTAAACAAGAAAAAATATCCGAACTTATAATATACAACGCATATTAGCTCTTCGGAGACATGTGAAACATAGGATGTATGTAAAACAAATCTTGTTATAGAATTTAAATTTCAATTTCCTCCAAATATTATGCCTAGTTGAAGTTATGAGGATTTTTACACTAAAAGATAACTACTTTGAAAATCGAATCTTGACATCAATTCTAGAATTTTGTTTTTTATTCGGGATTTTGGTTACAAGAGAAGCTACAAAAAATGTATGTTAAAGTTTATGTAAGATTGACTGGCGCTAGATTTAGTGATACAGTTTTTTTGTTTTTTTGTTTTTTTTTTTTTTTTTTTTTTTTTAAATTAGATATCCTTTAACGAAACCAAAAGATTACCTTAGACATAGCAAAGATTGAAACATGCCAAACGACATCGTATAATATACTAACAGATATTAGCTTTAGATAAACTTGCATACGACGTCGTATAGATATTTTTATAAAACTAGTTAATTTAGGCAACAAAAAATTAGAGCATGTGAAACGATGTCGAATGGATACTAATCTATTCGACGTCGTTTGACATGATTCCATCT